GCAAGGAACTGCTTTTGTTTTAAAAATCCTACATAGGTACATGAGTATGTAGGTAAATACATTGAAAAGGGGCCAGAGGACACATTCCAACAAGATCATCCCAGGAAGTGATGGGAAGTGGGTTGTGGGGGACAACTTTCAGGTTTTGCTCTCAGTACCACCCAGTTCCGGTTCAAGCCTGCAAGTCTGACATTATAGTACATAAAAACAAAACATGGGCACAATGGCTCATGCCAGTAGTCCCAGCTACTCAGCAGGGTGAGGCAGGAAGATTGCCTGAGCCTAAGAGTTGGAGGCTGCAGTGAAATACGATTGCACCACTACACTCTAGCCTGGGCAGCAGAGCAATACCCTGTTTCTAAAACAAAACAAAACAAAACAAAACACACAAAAAAAACCCACTATTTTCTGGGCCTCAGTGCCTGAGGGCTGAACCGGTTTCCAGGCATGGCATCCAGACCTCCCACACTGGTCCCTAGCCCTGCCACACCTGCCTACCTGTGGTTCTCCAAGTCCTCCATCCCTGCCACATCTTTCTGCCCTGCCCAAGCTCCCCTTCTCCCTTCCCCTTGCCCACCTTACTGACCCTGCTGCCTTCCCTGAGGCCCCTGCCAAGTTCCCACCTGCCTCTCTCCTTGGTCCCTGGGCCTCACTGTGCACCTGCTGCTGTCACAGCCCATCAGAGTGGATCCCCTCTTCTAGAATGGGTGCTCTGTTCCGGCAAGTTGAATGAGTGAATAAGCTGTAATATGTTCATTTTTTATGACAATATATACTAAAAATCATAATAGCAAAAATAAAGCATGTGATCAAATAATTTACAGATTATTCAGAGAAATAAATGAGTGCCGTGGGCACTAAAAAAACCACTTAGACTAGTAAGTGGCTAATCAGCAAGTGGCTGATTAGAATGAGGGAGCCCCTGAAGCACACAGGACTCACAAGGAAGACTGGAGTGAGCCTGGGTGAGGCCCATTAGTAGATGTTTAAAAACTAATAGGCTGGGCATGGTGGCTCACACCTGTAATCCTAGCACTTTGGGAGGCCAAGGCGGGTGGATCACCTGAGGTCAGGAGTTAGAGACTAGCCTGGCCAATATGGTAAAACCCCATCTCTACTGAAAACACAAAATTAGCCGGGCTGCCAATAATCCCAGCTACTTAGGAGGCTGAGGTAGGAGAATCACTTGAACCAGGGAGGTGGAGGTTGCAGTGAGCTGAGATCACTCCATTGCACTCCAGCCTAGGCAAGAAGAGTGAAACTGTGTCTCAAAAAAAAGGCCGGGCACAGTGGCTCACGCCTGTAATCTCAGCACTTTGGGAGGCCAAGGCGGGTGGATCACCAGGTCAGGATATTGAGACCACCCTGGCTAACACGGTGAAACCCCGTCCCTGCTAAAAATACAAAAAATTAGCCGGGCGTGGTGGCGGGCGCCTGTAGTCCCAGCTACTCAGGAGGCTGAGACAGGAGAATGGCGTGAACCCGGGAGGCAGAGCTTGCAGTGAGCCAAGATCGTGCCACTGCACTCCAGCCTGGGTGATGAACAAGACTCCATCTTAAAAAAAAAAAAAAAAAAAAAAAATTGAACTAAAATTAAGGAACACCTCTGTTTACTTATTCAGTCACTTAGCACACATTCATTACATGCCCACTGTGGGGCAGGTGCTGGGAATAGCACCTTCCAAAGTCTAACAGGGCAGACAGGCTACCTGTGGAGAGGGAGCCCAGGGGAGGGATTTGTACCCCCTGGGGCAAGAGGCAGGCTTTTTTTCTTTTTTTTTTTTGAGATGGAGTCTCACTCTGTCACCCAGGCTGGAGTGCAGTGGCCCGATCTTGGCTCACTGTAAGCTCCGACTCCTGGGTTCAGGCCATTCTCCTGCCTCAGCCTCCCAAGTAGCTGGGACTACAGGCAACTGCCATCACGCCCGGCTAATTTTTTTGTATTTTTAGTAGAGATGAGGTTTCACCATGTTAGCCAGGATGGTCTCGATCTCCTAACCTCATGATCTGCCCACCTCGGCCTCCCAAAGTGCTGGAATTACAGGCATGAGCCACCGAGCTTGGCCTAGGAGGCAGGCTTTTCAACCTTTATTGAAATGTTGAAGAATGGGTGGAGGCAGCCTGATAAATTAAAGTGCTGGGGAAAAGGAAAGCATTCCTGGGGCTGGAGGATATGCACAGAGCTCTGCACTGGCTGGGGCCCAGAATGCCTGGGGGCCTTGAGAAAGCCAGGTCAAGAGAGGCCAGGAGAAGTCAAGTGAAGAAGGGCAACCTGTGTTGAGCAGGGCATTGAAACTTCATCCCAACCACAGGAGTTGCTTTTCAGAGAAAGGTCAGCTGAGCTGTAGGAAGCCCAGGTCAGAGGAAACAGGCAAGAAGTAAGGAGGGTCTGGACTGAGTTGTGGGAGGGAAACAGAGAAAGCACAGACAGGACAGGACATGGCCGGTGCTGGGCATGAACAGTGAGGGGGCCAGGCGCGGTGGCTCACACCTGTCATCCATACCAACCTGAGCAATATAGCAAAAACAGTGAGGGGAGGGAGGTGTCTGGGAAACCTCCGGGCTTCTGGCTTGGGGACTGAGTGGCCAACACTGCTATCCTCGCAGATGGGGAACCCTCAAGAAGTAAGTTTGGGAGGAAGATAAGGGATTCCAATTTCAACATGTTAAGTTTAGGATTCTTGTGGGACATCCAGATGGAAATGTCTTAGAATCTGCTGGACACAGAGGTCTGAGGCTCAGGAGAGAGGTCTGGTGAGAAGTAAAGATTCCTAACTCATTTGTGCATTGGAGATGGCTGGATCCAAGGTACCATATATATACATCATATCTAATCCCCACAATCCCTGTGGGTTGGTATTACTATGCCTTCATTAGAGATGAGGAAACTGAGTAGAGGAGCAACTTAATCAAATCCACGCAGCTTCTAAGTGGCAGAGCCAGGGATCAAAGACAGGTCTGTCCCGAAAGCTGTTTTTTTCTTTTTCTTTTTTTTTTTTTTTTTTTGAGACAGAGTCTCGCTCTGTCGCCCAGGCTGGAGTGCAGTGGCCGGATCTCAGCTCACTGTAAGCTCCACCTCCCGGGTTTACGCCATTCTCCTGTCTCAGCCTCCCGAGTAGCTGGGACTACAGGCGCCCGCCACTTCACCCGGCTAGTTTTTTGTATTTTTAGTAGAGACGGGGTTTCACCGTGTTAGCCAGGATGGTCTCGATCTCCTGACCCGTGATCCGCCCGTCTCGGCCTCCCAAAGTGCTGGGATTACAGGCTTGAGCCACCACGCCCGGCCAGTAGCTGTATTTTTCTAATATGGGATGGCCAATATGGGATATTCCTGCTCAGCACAGTGGAGGCAGGCGAGAAATGAACTGGGAATGGAAAGCATGTGGGGCTTGGATCAGTGAAGATGAAAGCGCAGGAGGCAGTAATGTTCAGGAACGTTTGACCCCAAGGGAAGATTGCTATAAGAGGGCAAGGGTGGGTTTAGAGAGGGCCTGAGGGTCAAGCAAAGGGGCTTGACCTTTAACCTGCAGGCAGTGAGGGGCCCAGGCCCACTTGTGAGCAGGGGAGGGAGAGTTCATAGCATGTGTCTCTGGAGATTTGCAGGAGGAGCTGGAGAGAGACAGCAGAGGCAGGGAAAGCAGCAGGACTTAGGTCGGCTGAGGGCTGGGTGCTGTGAGGGCAAATGGGATGATGGGAGACCAAGGAGGCTCAGACTGGTGAGATGAGTAGAAACCAGGCAGGAGGAAGTCAAGAATGACTCCAGGCCAGGCGCGGTGGCTCATGCCTGTAATCCCAGCACTTTGGGAGGCTGAGGCAGGCGGATCACCTGAGGTCAGGAATTCGAGACCAGCCTCAACATGGAGAAACCCTGTCTCTACTAAAAATACAAAATTAGCTGGGCGTAGTGGTACATGCCTGTAATCCTAGCTACTTGGGAGGCTGAGGCAGGAGAATTGCTTGAACCTGGAAGGCGGAGGTTGTGGTGAGCCGAGATCGTGCCATTGCACTCCAGCCTGGGCAATAAGAGTGAAACTCTGTCTCAAAAAAAAAAAAAAAAAAAGAAGAAGGACTCCAAAGGGTAGAACCAGGATGCTGAGAAAGCAATGGAACCTCTGGGTGGAAGCCAGCAAGTCTTGAGAAGAGCTCATTTCTGGAGAGCTGGTATTACTACTACTGTGGATACCAGGTACTGTCCTAAGGTCTGTACATGTACTTCTGCATTTCATCCTCCCTTCCACCCTACAGGGTGCCCAGCTAACAGAGGAGACCCTGAGGCTGAGGGAGCTAAAGTGACTCATCTCAGGTCCCACAGCTGGGCGGCGCAAGTTCCACAGCCTAGATCTGCCTGACTCCACAGCCCGTGCTCTTGGTCAGCATCAGTTTTACAAGACCCTGCTTGATTTGACCCCTGCCCACTTCCTTCAGTCTCCTCTTGGCCACTCTCCCTGGCAATATGCTGTGCTCTCCAGCCTTAAGTACCCTCCTGTCTCAGGGCCTTTCCATAGGCCCTGTGTGTTTCCCAATGTCATCAAGTCCTCCTGGAATGTATTTCTCACCACACAGGATTCTGTACTTTTCTTCTGTGGCACTTATCACCATTGCAATTAATTAGTTATGTCCCTTTTTGCTTGATATCTGCAAGGAAATGACCCTTGTGTCTGGTCATTACTGTATTCCCACACTAGCAGCATCTGGCATGTCTGGGGCTTCATGCGTGCTTGTCAAGATGACGTAAGAATATAAACACCCCTAAGAGCCAGATCATTGGGTAGCTTTTTGGAATTTTGAGCCACTACCCTTTTTGTGGCAAAGAAGCTAACAGTCTAGGTGCCCCCACCCTCAGTCCTGGGCAGGTGGTCCCCACCTCCGGGAGAATCTACCTCGGGCATGCAGAGCAGAAAATGGGAGTCAAGCCACCAGCAGCCCTGGCAAGGGCCTCAGATAGCCCCAGGTGTCCTTCTCTGTAGGCTCACGCCAGTGGCCTCCCCTAGGGCACTCACTATTCCTTGGCGATCTCCAGGTCCTTTCTGTGGCTCTGCAGGGCTGCCGCCATCTGCCCCAGCTCAATCTGGGCATTCCCTATGCAGCTATATAAGTTTCCAACCAGTTCATCCTTGTTGGGAACCTCTTCCTTATTCCATTCCAGTACCTTCTTCAGCACTTTCTCGGCTTTCTGAAGACTCCCTTCAGCACTGCCGCTTGTGAGCACTGGGAAAGGAAAGGGGTGCTGTGGAGGCCAGGGCAGCCTCCTCTTGGCTGACAGGGTAACTCCTCTTCCTGCAGACACCATCTGCAGGTCAGAGAGACCAGGGGTTCAGACACCTGGTTCCTCCTTTCCCACCTGATAAGGCACTGGAGGCACCTGCCCCACCCTCTGAGAACAACACCCACACATGTCAATGTCCTCCAGGCTCTTGAGGATGTAATGGGCTGTCTGTGAGGGATGGCGTTTGTGGTCCCGCAGCCATTTCTCTTGCATCAGCTTCCGGTCCCGCTCCCTAGCATAGATCGGCTTTTGCTGCCTCCAGAAGTTGCTGTGAGTATCCAGGTAGTTGATGCCCGTCATGATGAGGTCCTCCACAGTCAGGCCGCCCTTCATGGTGCCTTTGATCAGGTCTGTGGGGAAGGGGTGTGAGGAGGCGCCAAGGAGAACAGGCCTCTAAGGGGTTTGCCTCCTGTTGCCTCCCGGTAGCTGCTGCAGGGCCCTCTGTGAAGAGCTCTGCCTGGAGTTGTTGAAACAGAGAGGAATGTGAGTGCGCATGGTGGCAGAGTGGGTTTATCCAGGCCAGGATGCAGCCAGAGCCCCACTTTCAGGGAGTTCCATGGTATGGGCACCTTATGGCAAGATATGAGGAGCTAACCAGAAGGGGCAGCTGGTGGATGGCTCGCTGAGAAGCCTTGGGGCTTGCCCAGTTCAAACTGTGTCCTCAGAGAACACTGAGTCTAAATGCACGATCTGGCCCAGGCTGCCAGTGCTCAGTGATTTCCCAGGTGCCCAGTGGGCCTGTGCATGCTGGGAGCTGGAAGGGGAGTACCCAACTCCTGCTCACTGCCTGGCCAGAGGTTACAGCCAGTAGCAAAGCTACAAGGCCACTTGAGGTAATATTCAAGCCACCCCTTCCCTCTGCAGCAGGTCCTCTGGAGAACAGGAGGCATTCAGCCTGTTGCCAAGGAGATGTGCCAGCAGTGAAGCTGTTCCTGTGTCACGGAACAGGGAACCCTACATATGACCTTGGGAAGCCAATTTTGGAGAAGAGGCATTTGGTTCACAGGTGACCCTGCTCAGGCTTATCAGCTAATGGCAATACTCCCATCCCCATGTTAATGCGAGACGTTCATCTCAGGCCTCTGTCCTTCATCCTGTCACTGGTAGCAGTGAGGTGGAAAGAGCACTAGACTGGCCAGGTGTGGTGGCTCACACCTGTAATCCCAGCACTTTGGGAGGCTGAGGCGGGCAAATCACTTGAGGTCAGGAGTTCGAAACCAGCCTGGCCAACATGGTGACACCCCATCTCTACTAAAAATACAAAAAATTAGCTGGGCGTGGTGGTGGGTGCCTGTAATCCTAGCTACTAGGGAGGTTGAGGCAGGAGAATTGCTTTAACCCAGGAGATGGAGGTGGCAGTGAGCCAAGTTTGCTCCACTACACTCCAGCCTGGGTGACAGAGCAAGACTCTGTCTTTAAAAGAAAGAGCACTGGACTGGAGGTCAGAGGCCTGGGTTCTGCTGGTGACTCCACCACGAACTTGTTTGTCAACTTGTAAAAGTTCCTCCCCAATCAGGGTCTATTTCCTTATCTATGAAAGGAGAACTTGGACCAGATGATGTTTCAGAACATCCTAGAACTAATATCCTCGGATTCAAGCACCTGTGTGCTGGATTCGTTTGCCCATTGTAAAGATTGAAGGCAAAGGGGATGTCCCTTCAGGGACTATGGTGGTAAAGGAGACCAAATCTCTGTTGTTCCCTTCCAGGGTACCATAGCACTTAGGAGCATTGCTCTAAAATTGGACTTCCTGGATTCGAATGTAAGCCATGTCATTGCCTACCTATATGTGACCTTAGTTTCCGTTGGTCTGCGCCTCAGTTTCCTCATCTGTAAAATGAGAATGCTAATAAAACCCGTCCATAGGTACATGTCAGCTAATATTATATGACAGGTTCTGCCTTCGGCTCATGCATGAAGCATCCACCCAAATTTCCTTTCCCCCAAAGCCCTGTGCCAACAAACTGTCCGAAACCTTCATCCAATAGGAGCTTCTCCAGATACTCTTTGTCCACGTAGAGCTCCCCCAGAAGCTGGCGAACAGTCTTCTCACTCTTGAGTGAGCCCTTCCGCTTGGGCTCTCCCTTGGTAGGGTGTAAGAGGTGTCTCATGGGCTGAGGCTTCTGCTGGGCTTTTATAGTCTGAGAAAATGGAGCAACACCCAGTAGAGCTTCAGCAAGGAGCAGAATATACCCAGCCATGGCCCTAGGGTCTGTGATCCCAGATTCCTCCAACTCCAGGACCTTTCTGTGGGCCAAGAGCCATGGAGAATGCCTGGTTGGGTTGCAGCTAGACTCCCAAGGCCCCTTCTCAGGCACACACAGCCTCTTCCCTTGGAGGGATACAACCGCAGAACCGGGGCCCTTACCTCAGCCTGCTTGCTTAAGAAGGAGAGGTCCCCTTTGTTCTCCAGCTTAATGGAAGAAGGACCTGCAAGGAAAGAAGCTGGAGCTCAGGTCGGCCAGGCCCCCACGGCCAGAACCCCAACGCATGATCTATAACATATTTTTAGGTGGAAATGGCTGCCTTTGGCAGGGGGATGGTGGAGGCTGTGGCAAAGCTGGCCTTAAGCCAGCCTAGCAAGCAAATGGTGCAGGCTGTTTGGTATAACTCCTAGGAGCTAACAGCCCCCACTAGCCCCAGGCTATGGCAGCCAGATTTCCAAACAAAGGGAGGCCAAGGGTACAGGGGAAACTGTCCATTTCCAGGCCCTGCCACCCACAGAGCAAGCTCTCACTTGTTCTCACTTGCTTCCCTTCTACCCCTGCCTTAATGCTGATGGCTAAGGCCAGCCCTTGGTATACGTCTGGTGAGGGAGGAAGCCAGGGACTACAGAAGGCTGGGCTCAGGACCGTGTTCTAGCTTTTGACACCAGGCTAAAGACAGGCCTACTTTGAAACAGCCCTTCTAAGCTGACCTTTAGGAAAACCCAAGGCTGTAGCGCTCAGAGATCAGTGTGTTCGTCAGGAAATGGTCCTCCTGGCAGACAGGTGGCGCCGGCCACCACGCCCAACTAATCCTCAACAACACTGCAGCAGCCAAATCCAAGTGGGGGACTCCCTGCGGGCCTGGTGGTGGCTGCTCACCTGCTGTACCTCAGCCTTCCTCTAAACCTAAGGATTCCAAGGACCTTCCTGGATAAGGGCATAGGCCCTGTGGCCACTCACTTCCCACTGAGTTGTTGATGGCTTCCTGGGCTTTCTGAATGCCAACTTTGAATTCCCGATCAGGCCTCAGCTTGTAGCCTCGATGATAGAATACCAAGGCAAACTCAAAGTCTCCCATTGTGTACAGTGTCTCAGCCTTTTGTAAAATCCCCTGGAATGGGAGGAAATCAAATCAAAGTGAACAGATAAGGCCTTATAGGACTCACATGTGGTGGAACAGAAGGGTCCTGGGTTGAGGGTCAAGGTTGGAATACAGGGGGCAGGGACTTAGGCAATGACCTAAGAAGAGAAAACGGCATCAAACACTAGGCAGTCTGGCTGCTTCTACTTGTAACAACTACTTGTTACAACTACTTGTAACCGGCAGCTGCTGCAGGCAATAGCAGGATCGAGTCCTCCCGCCCATGCAGTCACCTTACAGAAAGTTGGGTCACTCTGGAGCGAAGCCTCAGCATCCTCCAGGGATCTCTCCAAGTCTCCCATCTTCAGGAAGCACTTTGAGCGAGCAACCAGGCAGTTCTTGTCTCCATCCTGAAGGTAAAGAGCCTGACAAAGAAACCAGTCAGGTTGACAGCCAGCATGAAGAGCAAGGTAGAAGCTGCAGTGGGAAGGGCAGCCCAAACCCTCCTGCAGAGGTTCAAGGGGATTCTTCAGGCCAGCACACAGGCCTCTGGCTCCTAAGCAGCACAACTCCGATCTGCACTCAGTCAACTTGATTATCTGCACGTGGCTCACCTTGAACAAGGTCAAATCATGGCTATGATGGAAGCCACTGGCTGAAGAGTGGGAATATGCTACTCTGTGGATACGCTGACTTTCTGCCAATGTCTGAGAGCCCCCCAGTCTCCTCAGGCAATAGAACTATAGGGTATTTTATGCACACCAAACTCAACCACAAACCTGAAATGGCAACACATCATACTCAAAGTAAATTTCAAAGGCTAAGCATTCTGAAGTGGACTTGAGGACAATCTGCCATGTGGGTTAACCATTCCAGTAGCCTTCTCTTTTTATGTAGCTAATCAAGAACTAATCACTATACCCGGGAATTATGATGAAAGTGCCAGGAAAAGGCTGGGAGTGGTGGCTCACGCCTGTAATCCCAGCACTTTATTTGTTGTTGTTGTTGTTTTTGAGTCTCAGCTCTGTCACCCAGGCTGGAGGGCAGTGGCCCGATCTCCGCTCACTGCAAGCTCCGCCTCCCAGGTTCATGCCATTCTCCTGCCTTAGCCTCCCGAGTAGCTGGGACTACAGGCGCCCACCACCACGCCCGGCTAATTTTTTTGTATTTTTAGTAGAGATGGGGTTTCACTGTGTTAGCCAGGATGGTCTTGATCTCCTGACCTTGTGATCTGCCCGCCTTGGCCTCCCAAAGTGCTGAGATTACAAGTGTGAGTCACTACGCCCGGCCAATACCAGCACTTTGGCAGGTTGAGGTGGATGGAATGCTTGAGCGCAAGAGCAAGCTCCGCCTCCCGGGTTCACGCCATTCTCCAGCCTCAGCCTCCCGAGTAGCTGGGACTACAGGCGCCCTGCTAATTTTTTTGTATTTTCAGTAGAGACGGGGTTTCACTGTGTTAGCCAGGATGGTCTTGATCTCCTGACTTTGTGATCCACCCGCCTTGGCCTCCCAAAGTGCTGGGATTACAGGCTTGAGCCACCACACCTGGCCAATATGAGCACTTTGGCAGGTCGAGGTGGACGGAATGCTTGAGCCCAAGAGTTTGAGACAGGGTTTTGCCATGACAAAACCCTGTCTCTACAAAATACAAAAAAATTAGCTGGGTGTGGTGGTCTATGACTGTAGTCCCAGCTACTCAGGAGGCTGAGATGGGAGGATTGCTTGAACCTGGAGAGGTCGAGGCTGCAGTAAGCCATGATCACACCACTGCACTCCAGCCTGGGTGACAGAATGAGACTCTGTCTCAAAAAACAAAACAAAACAAAACAAAAAGAGGCCGGGTGCAGCGGCTCACATCTGTAATCCCAGAACTTTGGGAGGCCGAGGCAGGTGGATTATGAGGTCAGGAGTTCGAGACCAGCCTGGCCAACATGGTGAAACTTGTTTCTACTAAAAACACAAAAATTAGCCAGATGTGGTGGTGAGCACCTGTAATCCCAGCTACTCAGGAGTCTGAGGCAAGAGAATCGCTTGAACCTGGGAGGCAGAGGTTGTAGTGAGCTGAGATCATGCCACTGTACTCCAGCCTGGGTGATGCAGTGAGATGCTGTCTCAAAAAAAAAAAAAAAAAAAAAAAAAAGCCAGGAAAATGAAACTGTGATTTTGACCCTAAAGTGGGGTTGAGGGAGATTTTCCCTCTCTTCTGTGTGAGATGATTACCATAGTCTGTGGTGTACTGTCCTTCCTGAGGCATCTAACTGTACTCACCCCTCTTTTTCTTTTTTGAGACAGTCTCACTCTGTCACTCAGCCTGGAGTGCAGTGGCACGAACTCTGCTCACTGCAACTTCCGAGTCCCGGGTTGAAGCAATTCTCCTGCTTAGCCTCCCGAATACTTGGGACTACAGGCGCCTGCCATCACACCTGGCTAATTTTCTTCTTTTTTCTTTTTTGAGATGGAGTTTCGCTCTTGTTGCCAAAGCTGGAGTGCAATGGCACAATCTCGGCTCACTGCAACCTCAGCCTCCTGGGTTCAAGCAATCCTCCTGCCTCAGCCTCCAGAGTAGCTGGGATTACAGGCACTCGCCACCACACCTGGTTTATTTTTTGTATTTTTAGTAGAAACGGGGTTTCACCATGTTAGCCAGGCTGGTCTCGAACACCTGACCTTAGGTGATCCACCTGCTTTGGCCTCCCAAAGTGCTGGGATTACAGACCTGAGCCACCTGACCTGGTCTTTTTTTTTGAGATGGAGTTTCACTCTTATTGCCCAGGCTAGAGTGCAATGGCACAATCTTGGCTCACTGCAACCTCTGTCTCTCAGGTACCCAGCCCTTTCTAAGACCTTATTACTTTTCTAAGAAGAGGAAGTAGCTACTGTCTTTCTGGAAAGTGACTACATCTCATCCAAGGCTACCCTTCCCTCAGGGTGTTCTTTTTCTCTGCCAGGGGTACTTCAGGATGCGACATGATCCAGCAGGAGAAGAATAAGTGGGGACAGGGCTTCTGAACTCAATTGTTCACTTATCTGGTCATCATTTCTGGTTTTAGGGTGTGGTTGGTGACTGAAAGGGACAAACAACTCTGGGGAGCTGTTGAGAAGCTTGATCTTACAGGAAGTCTTGAGACTGGAGGGTTATCCTACCACTCTATCTAGAATAAGAAGTGGGCAATTTGGAGCAAAAGAAATGGTCGGGCCGGGCGCGGTGGCTCACGCCTGTAATCCCAGCACTTTGGGAGGCCGAGGCGGGCGGATCACAAGGTCAGGAGATCGAGACCATGGTGAAACCCCGTCTCTACTAAAAATAGAAAAAATTAGCCGGGCGCAGTGGCGGGCGCCTGTAGTCCCAGCTACTCGGGAGGCTGAGGCAGGAGAATGGTGTGAACCCGGGAGGCGGAGCTTGCAGTGAGCTGAGATTGCGCCACTGCACTCCAGCCTGGGCGACAGAGCGAGACTCCGTCTCAAAAAAAAAAAAAAAAAAAAAAAAAAGAAATGGTCATAAAAACATCTTTTTAGGGCACTGTAGCTCATACCTGTAATCCTAGCACTTTGTGAAGCCAAAGCAGGAGTATTACTTGAGCTCAGGTGTTCAATACCAGCCAGGGCAACATAGCAAAACACCTGTCTCTACAAAAAACAAAACAAAACAAAACAAAACAAAATAGCCAGGTATGGTGGTGTAAGCCTGTAGCTCCAGCTACTTGGAACACTAAGGTGGGAGGATCACTTGAGCTCAGGAGTTTGATGCTGTATTGAGCTGTGATTGTGCCACCACATTCCAGCCTGGGAGATAGAACGAGATCCTGTCTCTAAAAAAGAAAGAAAGAAAGAAAGAGTTTCCTTATGCAGATGTCAGATGTGTAGTTTGGTGGTTAGCACCTCAGCCTTGGAATCTAAGTCTAGCTTTGAATCCTTCCTCTGCCACTTGCTAGTTCAGCAACCTTGGACATGTTGCTCAACTTCTGTATATTTCTTCATCTATAAAATTGAGTATACACTGCGCGGGGTGGTTCACGCCTGTAATCCCAGCACTTTGGGAGGCTGAGGTGCGGGGATCACCTGAGGAGGGGAGTTCGAGACCAGCCTGACCAACATGGAGAAACCCCATCTCTACTAAAAATAAAAAATTAGCTGGGCGTGGTGGGGCATGCATGGAATCCCAGCTACTCGGGCGGCTGAGGCAGAAGAAACGTTTGAACCTGGGAGGTGGAGGTTGGGGTGAGCCGAGATCACGCACGCCATTGCACTCCAGCCTGGGCGACAAGAGCAAAACTCCATCTTAAGAACAACAACAGGCCGGGCGCGGTGGCTCAAGCCTGTAATCCCAGCACTTTGGGAGGCGGGAGGATCACGAGGTCAGGAGATTGAGACCATCCTGGCTAACACGGTGAAACCCCGTCTCTACTAAAAAAATACAAAAAAAAAACTAGCCGGGCGAGGTGGCGGACGCCTGTAGTCCCAGCTACTCGGGAGGCTGAGGCAGGAGAATGGCGTAAAACCGGGAGGCGGAGCTTGCAGTGAGCTGAGATCCGGCCACTGCACTCCAGCCTGGGTGACAGAGCGAGACTCCACCTCAAAAAAAAAAAACAACAACAACAACAACAACAACAAAAATCGAGTATGCTTAGCAGTGTGCCTGAGGCTAAGGCAGTCGCTTGAATCCAGGAGGTGGAGGTTGCAGTGAGCCAAGATCACACCATTGCACTCCAGCTTGGAGACAGAGCAAGACTACATCTCCAAAACAACAACAACAACAACAACAACAGCAAAAAACCAACCAGCACCCAATCCCCTCAGGGTGGGATGATGCAATTTATACTAGGGTTACTATAATAATGTTGCTGGTTGGTGCGGCGGCTCACATCTATAATCCCAGCACTTTGGGAGGCTGAGGCAGGTGTATCACTTGAGAGTTCAACACCAGCCTGGCCAACATGGCGAAACCCTGTCTCTACTAAGAATACAAAAATTAGCCAGGCGTGGTGGCACACACCTGTAATCCCAACTACTCCCTAGGGTGAGGCAGGAAAATCGCTTGAACCTAGGGAGGCGAAGGTTGCAGTGAGCTGAGATCTCGCTACTGCACTCCAGCCTGGGCGACAGAGCAAGACTTTGTCTCAAAATTAATAGTAATAATAATAATAATATGTTGCTTACTGTCCACCTTTTATAAGTAACGGTGTGCTGGAGACATTGCAGCTTCTGCACACAACCTCCCATCCAATCTGCCAGCAAATGATGGGAAGTGAAGGCCGCTCTTTGAGAGGAGGCCGGTTAATCATGAAACATTTAAGTAAAAAAGAGGAAGAGGTCACTGTTAATGTAGAGAATGGAGATCGCAAGTGGGAATTCGTAGAAAATGGCCAAGCACAGGGCTTATCTGTGACAGCAGTGTGTCCATCAACAATCAGTGAATAATACAAACAATAGGGTCCTCCAGGCATCATCAAGACCTCAGTGTTATCTGCAATCAAAAGGTGACTGGGGCGGGCTCAGTGGCTCACGCCTGTAATCCCAGCACTTTGGGAGGCCGCGGTGGGTGGATCACGAGATCAGGAGTTCGAGACCAGCCTGGCCAACATAGTGAAAACCCCGTCTCTACTAAAAATACAAAATAGTTAGCCGGGCATGGTGGGCGGCGCCTGTAGTCCCAGCTACTTGAGAGGTTGAGGCAGGAGAATCGCTTGAACCCTGAAGGTGGAGGTTGCGGCGAGCCGAGACCGTGCCATTGCACTCCAGCCTGGGCAACAAGAGTGAAACTCCGTCTCAAAAAAAAAAAAAAAAAAAAAAAGTGACGGGTGACGGGGTGATGGATAGGTTGAGAGCTCGACTCACGTTGCTGAAGCTCTGAGCGGCTTTAGAGAATTCTCCGCACAGGTAGAGCCGCTCGCCTTCCGCCATGTAAGAGGGAAAGGTGCTTCGCGAGGTCTCGCCTTCGGGGTCCGACATGGTGACCGGATTTAGAGACGCTAAAGCAGAGACAATCGAAGAAAAGCTGGAGAACCTCTATCTGGTTCTGGTTTGTGGAAGCTCCGTCTCTTAGCAACCGTGAGTCGTACAGCGATTTCCGGTTCCGTCCCTGTCTGGCAAGGGCCCGGATTCTGGGTGCAACCTGCCGGCGTGCGCGTGCGCCAGTTCTGCCGCGCACCGGGCCGGAGAGTGATGAGTGCGTGGCTGGCGGCTGAGCTCCTTAGTGTTTGCTGTTGCACGCTCCTTCGGTTCTCTCTGGAGTTACTGCGTGAAAAGGCTGCCTTGTAAGACAGCCAAGAAAACAGGAAGAGGGTTGGAGGCAAAGTTCCGAATAGGGATAAGGCATACGTGGTAAGGATATGTGCCCCGCGTACCGTCATTAGGGGGAGAGAGCACTGGGCTTGGAGTCAGCAGACTTAGGCCGACTTCACTCCTGTCACTTCCTAACTGCGTGACCTCTCGCAGGGCATGTAAGGGCTCCCAGCCTCGAATGTTCCACCTGCCAAATAAATATGAAAATAATGGAACACTTAGGGATGCGAGGATTTGCATAAGAAACCATGGAAAATAACGTTGGGTTCAACGTAATTTAATGCAGTTATTTGAGCAGCTGCTAGTAGCGGGCCTTGACCAAGGCATATTCTGACGTCCTTCCCCATTCCCCTCACCATCATCACTCCTCCAAAAGTGTACTAGGGCTGCTTCTGGGCTCCAACGATACTCTTAAGTCGCTTGCTTAACTGCCTTTACTACGTTACTTCCAAAACGTCCTAATGTCATTGTTAAAGCTTAAATAGTAAAAAGATGTCCCTAACTACAAATGCAGACACACACACGCATGGCATACATGTAAAATTGGGGATATTTGAGTAAAAGCAGTGGATTGTATCAGTGTCAATTTTCTGGTTCTGTTATTGTACTAAAGTTTTTAAAGATGTTACCATTGGGAGAAACTGGGAAAAGGGTACATGGGATCTCTTTTGTATTTATTTCTTATGAACTGCATATGAATCTATGATTATCTTAAAAGGTTTCATTCAAAAGATAAAAAATAATATGATCCCTGCTTGAAAGAGTTCTATCTACGGCCGGGCGCGGTGGCTCAAGCCTGTAATCCCTGCACTTTGGGAGGCCGAGATGGGCGGATCACGAGGTCAGGAGATCGAGACCATCCTGGCTAACATGGTGAAACCCCGTCTCTACTAAAAAATACAAAAAACTAGCCGGGCGCGGTGGCAGGCGCCTGTAGTCCCAGCTACTTGGGAGGCTGAGGCAGGAGAATGGCGTAAACCCGGGAGGCGGAGCTTGCAGTGAGTTGAGATCTGGCCACTGCACTCCAGCCTGGGAGACAGAGAGAGACTCTGTCTCAAAAAAAAAAAAAAAAAAAAAAAAAAAAAGAATTCTATCTAATAGGGGAGAAAGAGGTATGAACAAGTAATGACCACTTAAAGTGATATTAGCTAGTAATTAAAAGTTCTAGCCGGGCGCAGTGGCTCACACCTGTAATCCCAGCACTTTGGGAGGCTGAGGCAGACAGATCACGGGGTCAGGAGATCGAGACCATCCTGGCTAACACAGTGAAACCCCATCTCTACTAAAAAATACAAAAAATTAGCGGGGTTCAGTGGCGGGCGCCTGTAGTCCCAGGTACTTAGGTGGCTGAGGCAGGACCCGGGAGGCGGAGCTTGCAGTGAGCCGAGATTCCCCCACTGCACTCCGGCCTGGGTGACAGGGCGAGACTCCGTCTCGAGGAAAAAAAAAAAAAAGGTTCTGTGTGCCTGTGAGGGAGATGAGGACAAAGTGGTGTAAAACCCAGGCAAATGAATGATTCAGCCAGGGTCTGGGATGAGTTAGAGACAGCTTCATAGAGGGGTAACATTTGAGCTGAGGGTGAGTAGGGTGGTGCCCAGTAGACATAAGTGGAGAATGAGGGCTAGGCGTGGTGGCTCATCCCAGTACTTTGGAGGCTGAGGTGGGAGGATTGCTTGAGCTCAGGAGTTCAAGACCAGCCTGGGCAACATGGTGAAGCCCTGTCTCTACCACAAATACAAAAGTGAGCTGGGTGTGGTGGTGTGTGTCTGTAGTTCCAGCTACTAAGGAAGCTGAGGCAGGAGGATCGCTTTAGCCTGGGAAGTCGAGGCTGCAGTGAGCCATGTTTGGGCCACTGCATTGTAGCCTGTGTAGCAAAGCAAGACGCTGTCTCAAAATAAATAAATAAATAAATAAAAGGAAATAAGATATGCAAAGGCTGGAGGTGTGTACATTTACAGGGTGTTTAAGGAGCAGCAACATGACCTGCAGTGAAACCGGTCCTGTTCTAGGTTAAGGTGGGCTCATTGATGAGTTGAGGACTGCTGCTGGAGCAACCAGGATTAATCAGAAAAAAACCTCCTGCAAGGAAGAGATCTATAGATCCAATGCAGTCCCAATCAGAATTCCAGCAGCTTCTTTTTTTTTTTTTTTTTTTTTGAGATGGCATCTCACTGTGTCACCCAGGCTGGAGTGCAGAGTGCAATGGCGTGATCTCAGCTTTCTGCCACCTCCACCTCCTGGGTTCAAGCGATTCTTCTGCCTCAGCCTCCCAAGCAGCAGGGACTACAGGTGTGCGCCACCATGCCTGGCTAATTTTTGTATTTTTGATAGAGACAGGGTTTCACCGTGTTAGCCAGGCTAATCTCAAACTCCTGACCTCAGGTATTCCGCCTTAACCTCCCAAAGTACTGTCATTACAGGCATGAGCCACCGCACCTAGTCTAAACCTTGACCCTTACTTCATACTATATACAAAAATTAACTAGAAATATATCTATATCTATATATAGATATATATATCTATATATAGATATATATTTTGAGACGGAGTCTCGCTCTGTTGCCCAGGCTGGAGTGCAGTGGCACAATCTCGGCTCCCTGCAAGCTCCGCCTCCCGGGTTCACGCCATTCTCCTGCCTCAGCCTCCCCAGCAGGTGGGACTACAGGCGCCCGCCACCACTCCCGGCTAATTTTTTGTATTTTTAGTAGAGACAGGATTTCACTGTGTTAGCCAGGATGGTCTCGATCTCCTGACAGGATTACAGGCGTGAGCCACCGCGCCCGGCCTAACTAGAAATATTTAAATATGGCCGGGTGCCGTAGCACACACCTGTAATCCCAGCACTTTGGGAGGTCAAGGTGGGCAGATCAAAACCATCCTGCCTAACATGATGAGCTATGATCAGGCCACTGCACTCTAGCCTGAGCGACATAGTGGGATCCCATCTCAAATAAAATACAATTCTAGAAAATGCAAACTAACTGCCTGGGAACATGGCAGTAGGGAAGTGAGGGGTAGATTACAAAGGAGTACAGGGAAACTCATGGAGGTGAGGAATATGTTCATTATCTTGATTGTGGTAATTGTTTCACAGGTATATACATATATTAAAACTCATCAAATTGGCCGGACGTGGTGACTTAAGCCAGTAATCCTAGCACTTTGGGAGGCTGAGACGGGCGAATCACCTGAGGTTGGGAGTTCAAGACCAGCCTGACCAACATGGAGGAACCCTGTCTCTACTAAAAGTACAAAATTAGCTGGGTGTGGTGGCACATGCCTGTAATCCCAGCTACTCCGGAGGCTGAGGCAGGAGAATCACTTGAACCTAGGAGGCAGAGGCTGTGGTGAGCCAAGATGGCGCCATTGCACTCCAGCCTGGGCAACAATAGCGAAACTCCGTCTCAAATAAAAACCAAAAACCTCATCAAATTGTACACTTTATGTGCAGTTTATTGTACTTTAATTATATATCAGGAAAGCTGTTTTGAAAACACAATAAGACTGGGCGTGGTGGCTCACGCCTGTAATCCCAGCACTTTGGGAGGCTGAGGCGGGTGGATCACCTGAGGTCAGGAGTTCAAGACCAGCCTAGCCAACATGATGAAACCCCGTCTCTACTAAAAATATAAAAATTAGTGGGCATGGTGGCAGGCGCCTGTAATCCCAGCTACTCGGGAGGCTGAAGCACGAGAATCGCTTGAACCCGGAAGGCAGAGGTTGCAGTGAGCTGAGATCGTGCCACTGCACTTCGGCCTGGGGGACAAGAGCGAGATTTCGTCTCAAAAAAACAAAACAAAACAAAAAACAATAAAATACCAATCATAATGTGTGCTTTTCCGCAGTTTATAAAGCACTGTGAGCTTCACAACACCCTAGTGAGGTAAAGAGCCAGTCAGTAGTTTCCTGGTTTCACAGATGAAACACTGAGGCTGAGAGAAATGACAGGGTTTGCTCCAAGCTACAGCACAAGGATATAAGTGAGCCGGATTGGGGTCTATGCCTTGGGTTGGATTAGCAGGGTAAAGAGTGCTAGAATTGGATTCTAGCCTGTCCCAGCCATTTATAGCTGGGTTCCTCAAGTTATTGCTTTATTTATTATTTTATTGTGAAATAGAACATAAGTAAATAAACATATATAAAACATACATGTCTGGCCGGGCGTGGTGGCTCACTCCTGTAATCCCAGCACTTTGGGAGGTTGAGGCAGGCAGATCACCTCAAGTCAGGAGTTCAAGACCAGGCTGACCAACATGGTGAAGCCCCATCTCTACCAAAAATACAAAAATTAGCCTGGTGTGGTGGCACACACCTGTAATCCCAGCTATACCAGAGGCCGAGGCAGGAGAATCACTTGAACCTGAGAGGCAGAGGTTGCAGTGAGCTGTGATCACGCCACTGCACTCCAGCCTGGGCGACAGAGCAAGACTCTCTCTCTCAAAAGAAAAGTACACCCATATAGTCAGCACACAGGTAAATCAAGAAACATATTGCTAGCAGGGGGTCCCGTGAGAGGCCCCTCCCCACTCACAGCTCCCTCTCCAGGTAACTACTGCCTTCACTATGAGCCCTCATCATCTCTCTCCTGGATTACTTCATTATCCTTCCAAGTGGGTCTCCTTGGCCAACCCTCCCCCACTTCCTTCTCAACACAACAGTCAGAAGATTATTTATTTATTTATTTATTTAGACAGAATGTCTGAATAAAGCCTGGAGTGCAGTGGCACAATCTCAGCTCACTGCAACCTCTGCCCTCCTGGGCTCAAACAATCCTCC